CGGGGAGGGGAGAGAAATGTGTTAATCACACATCCTCTAATACGCATACTTTGCTTAATTTGTCCTTCTATAACTTAAACCAATACTGATGACATGCTGCAGTACAATTGTTAAAGTGACGCTGCAATTTAGAGGTGAACACTTTGGATTTTTGTGAGGTGTTATAAGAGTTTAAAAAAAAAAAAAAAAAAAGGGGCTGCCTGCTTAAGCAGCATAACCACTATTAAGCTTTCCATATAATGTGCAAAGACACACAAAAAGAATAAATTTTATACTCTATGTTCAGACTTTCCACAGAGCTGTGAAACAATAGTTGTACCTGAGTTCTGCCCAAACAGGAATGTTAGTATTCAACACAGTGAAAAGTCCTTTATTATTGACAACTGCAGAAAGTCAGAACCTGAAGTCCATAGCTCACCAATTTCTCAGTTAATGTCTTTCCTTATGCAAGATATATTCTGCAAAGGATAATGTGAATTCTCCTCTGTGTTATTTTACTTCTTTAAAGTGCATAGACATAACTTAAGAGAACTACGTTTTCATTTTACATAAACAAACTTCTTCACAATTTCCTTTTTGAAGTAGAAATCCAGGTTCGCACAACTTTCTCTCACTCCCTGTAAAGGACATTATGAAAAACTCTGTGCTTCCAGGCCAGTATCACAATAACCGAAAGGAACCAGCAATTCAAAACAACGATTTCTACTTAACCTGAAAGCCTGGCAAAAAAGAGAGAAAAAAAAAAAGATGTCCTCACCCCCCAACACACCTGGTATCAGAGCGCAGCTCACTGTCAAGGCAAAGAAAAGCATCCCTCTTCCTCTGTTCTTTACAGAGCTGGTGAGCGAGGACTAAGAGAGCAGAGCAGCCCCTCCCAAAGAGGGCCAGAAGGATGGAAATCCAGAAGAAAGAGCATTCTGCAGACATCCAGCAGAAAGACAGGGGTGAACAGAAAGGTCCCACCGGCCAGCCCAGAACACATTCCATGCTGTACTTCTACTTTGCTACTAGCTTGTTTCCACAATACACTAATAGAGGCGACACAACAGACTATTGTGTTTGTGGTACCAACAAACTAGCACTAATGACTTCTTAGTACAAATGTGCATCTTCTGCAGAGCATGCTGTTGAATATGCTATACAGATGCAGCAGCTTTCAGCAGACAAACACATCAGGACTATCAAACAAAAAAGTGCACTGCAGTTTTAGGTGTGGTTAAAGAAAAAATTTCAAACACTTTATCTGTTCTAAGAATAAAGAAACGATAACATTTTAACCAAAGACAAAGGATATACTGGTGAGTGTTTTTAACTTACTTTTCCCATTCTACAGACATGCTATTTATCATGAAGTTTGTCTTGCTATCACATACAGTTAGCTGGCAGAGGTAAGTTCCAGATGTTTCTGCACTTGATACATCACAAAATGGACCTACTTCAGAAGGGATATCACATGTTCTTACCATATACTCCTTTGTCCAGGAGAAGTAAAAACTCATCCACTGCATTTCGCATCTCAGACTCAGTAAGATCCAGCAAAGAAACAACTTTGAAATCCAGCTGTCTTAGCAAATTGGTCAATTCATAGACATCTACCATCGGAGCCTTGAGTTGGGGGTGATTCCAGTAGCTCATATTTCCTATTAACAGAGCTACCTTGTCTGTTGCTGCAAAGACAAAGGAAAAACAAAACCACATCACGTTTATTCCATGGGTTCAATACCTTTAAATGTCATTTCTTCCAAAGTGAAAATGGTAACCAATCTCACTTCAGGCACATTATTTTATATGATTTTAAAAGTCATCCTACATCAACAACACAGCTCAAGTCTCTTCTAATCCAAAAAAACCCATTTCAGTGTGGCCTGACAGTCAACATATCTGAACTGTGATGCATCTCAGACTGGACAATCTGTCAAGAAGTGAGTCACTAAGGCTATCTCCCATTTCTTTCATTTTTCTGAAAGCACAGACAATTACTGAATTCCCCCATGCAAGAAGAAATTTAATAAACATGAAAGTTCTTATGGCAAGTTGCCAATGCTACAGCCAGTATACTTTCCCAAAACCCTCGAATTTTCTTACGGTTCTTAAAAAACAAACAAAAAACCACCTTCACATCTCCATCTCCCATGTTCAGTCTCTCTAAAGCACAGTACATTTAGGTGGAAACTTTTATAGGTCAGAAGTAAAAAGTCTTTTTTCTGTTTGTTAAGGCTTCTTTTTACTGTTGCTCTGGTTAAAAACAATTCTACAGAGATATGAGAAATTTGCAAAATATGCAGGGACGTCTACTGATATTCTCATAGTTAGAGATACGTTCACTTTGATTTTAAGAAAGTCCAAAGTAATTCTGTCATAAGTAAACAAAGCAGCAATGAAAGGAGAAAAAAGTCACATTAACAGAAATGCTTTAGAGACCACTAGCCTCATTTTTACCCCCAAATTGCACACTAAGTTACCGAAAGGCACTTATTCAAAGCAAGGCATTTCCTCCCTGGTTTGTTACTTCTCTCCAACAGGAATTCTTGTCCCACAGCTCTGGTGGCAAATGAGATCACATGAATGCCCCAAACCTGCTTCAGTCAGTAACCTCACACAGCTCGATCCAGAAGAGAATCTCTCTCTGTAGCCTCAATGTCCTAACGTTTCACCTCCTTCAAACAAGATGTTTTCAACTTTTTTGCAGCTGGAAAACCTCCAAGGTCTTGAACAGTGTAAACTATTTTAAACAGCAGAGACTGAGTGACAGTGGCACACTGTCACTGAAAAACACTTTTAAAAGCACAAGCTTTCTAATTAATTTAGAAAAGATGAACCAGCACTTGGAGAGCACTTGCACTCCCTCTCATGCTGATGAACCCAAAAGAGTGGTAAAATTTTGACAGAGGCCAGCAGCTGTTCCACCTGGTTTAGCATCAACAAGACAACATGCCTGACCACAGTCAAGTCTACCATGCAAATTTAAGCATGTGACTCAAAAACCCCAGCAATTATTCTCCATAACACACATACACTATCCATCTATCTTTATGAGCTTCAGCTCAGGATCAAAGCATCCACATACTGTGCATAGGAAGAGCTCAGCTTGCAGGGACAGCATATCCTTAGCAGACAGACTACAAGCCTTTTTATCACGTCATCCTAATACCACTATCTCCAACTGTCAAAGTATTCAAAGTAATGGAGTAACACACTGGCTAAGGTCGTGGCCAGAGGAATTTCAAACAGTAAACTGAAACAAGATGAGAAGTTGTAGATGCTCTGCCGAGTCACTAAAAATACTGGTGCCCTCAGCACAGTTTACTACTGAAAGGCCACGCAAACATTACAAGGGACTATTAAAACATGCAGAAGTCTCCCTCCCTGCAGCTATTTACCTGCGCTACAGTTATTTCTCTAGCAGTGGCAGAAGCAGCAATATTCAGAAGTAAAATCAATTTCTTAGGTATGAAATACATACGTTCATTACAGCTACAAAACTACTTACCAACAGGTCTCCAACTTGATTGTTCTTGTAGGTCTGCTTGAAATACATTAAAAGAGCAGATCGTCAGTAACTGCAGTCATAGTTGCCAATGTCAGAAAATGAACCACATGTTCCACACAGCCATAGCCTATTGGTACTGCTTTGCCTAATACATTACTAGTTTAAGACAAAAGAAGTGCTCTTTTTTTGTTTTGCTGGGGTTTTGGAGTGTTGTTTTGTTGTTTACCTAATTCCCTTCACCCTTTTCCAGCAAACATAACCTAATAGGATATGAATAGCTACTTCTATAAATTAAGAAATCATAGATGCTTATAGTGCAATTTCGAATCTCACAAACTGCACATCACCATTTTCAGTAACATCCAAAACAATTCATCCTCTCCAAATTAAATGCAGACATGCAAGATAGGGGATGCTCAGCAGGGATGACCATCTGTATGTGAAAATTCTTTTATTTTGTACTTCACAGAAGGATGGTAGAGCCAATGCTGTCCCAAGAGGAGCAGGGGAGTGATATGCCAAAGTGGTACGCTTTGGATAATGTTACACATCATGACAGTACCACTTCAGTAACTGAAACTAAGTCTTGGCAAAAGCAAACATATCTTTGATGTCTAACCCAGGAAATTATACGACCTTTGTGATTTGAGATTTTGGGAACAATGTATCAAGGCTAATCCCTTATGGAGCATTACTCCAGATCTATGTTTCTATAATAAACATCAAAAAGGTTTCAAATCACATGAAGTCACTCCAACATGAATTTAAGAAATATACCAATTCAACATATTATGGGTGACAGCCAGACACCTTACCTCTTTTTCACCTTAGTCATCTGAAAAAGCAGCAACATGCTACAACTTAAGAGTCCAAAGATACAACAGACAAGAAAGCAAAAGATAATTCCTTCTGTATTTGTATATGCATATATGCAGTATAAAACACCAGCTTTGTGTGATTTTACAAAGACAATAGCAACTCTATGAATCACTATATTCTTAAAGTTAATTTATTGGAACCAGAAAGCTGTGCTGCTCTTAACGTGATATCTGCCCCTATTAAATCCTCAGTTATAGATACATCCAAATAATATAAATGATATATTGTAATCCAGCTAGGCTTCAGTGATTTGTAACATGAAATTAAGATGTGAAATTAAAGTTTTTCAAAACTTAGGACTTACCTGGTTTTTGAAGATCGCTTAGATCTTCTGTGAAGAAATATACCAATAAAATCATAGTTTAACCACTAAGCAAAAAAATACATTTTTTATTAATAAAAATATAATTAAGTGTCATGCCATTATAATAGAAGCCAAATGTTAGAAAACAAACTACCTTTCTAACATACTTTCGGCTTTGCATTTCTGTAAATCTAACCTTTTGTATGTTATTCCACATGCAGAGAAGAGAAAATCCTACATCAATACACTAAGCTACGCTAGACACAGCATTACAATATAGCAGATCTCAAAACAAAGGGAGAAACACACACTATGCCTCAATCCCACAGGCATGCAAGCAGCTTGAATGAATAAGGAATAAAATATCAGAATCACCCATTTGAAAAATAGATGTTTGAAAGACTGCTGAAAAAGCAACATCCTGAGCAAGAAATCTTAATTCATTAAACCACGTGTATTCAGAAAGAGTTCAGATACAATTTTCAAACATTCTAAGCTACCACAGGTTTCATCTATTTATTCTGAGAACACTGGAAACTACAGAAAAGAAAAATAATTTATCTGAAGCACCAGAGGTCTCTTAGGGCAGGCCTGCTCCATGCAGCGGAGCCCTAGGCTGACCTCTTAGGCCACAAAAGCTGGCTCATTTATCCACCTGGGAGACTGCAGTGACCTGCGGTGACACTACTCTAGGTGTTAACAGAGCTTAGTAGCAGAATGATCTTGCATCCAAGTAAACTGTAGTTTGGGTGTAGACCCCCCCAGATGACAATACAGTGGTTACCTTCTGCTTCAAAGGGTAGTTTAATTACAGGTAACTAGAAGGTTTCTGCATAGCACTCCATCAGGTCATGCAGACAGTCCTGAGCCAGAAAACGTGTGAAGGCTCAAAGAGATGATCCGACCCAGAAGCTATGCCATGGAAGTGGCTGACACCGAAATGTGCGTCACTTCTGTGTTCCAGTGAGTGACAGTATGCAATCCCCTCTCAATGTTAAACCTTTAACAAAAGGGCTAAAGGGGAACATCAGCTCTAGTTAAACTTTGAATAAGAAATGCTGCAGAGCAGTTTAATTCCAAGAAAATTCTATGATTCTATGAAAAAACACGGTAGAGCGCCATTCATTGTACTTCGCAAATGCATTTGTTTTATTCATCGTTGGTAGGTAAGCTGGGCGGAAGGCTGCTGTAAGCAGCCTTACATCTTTATATATGATCCCCTATGATGTAAATATTACAGACTCCGAGATGCTCAGTAAGCAAGGGATGGTGTCAACATTAAAGGTCACAAGACACTTCTTCCTCCCCTTTGCATGCTGCAAAGGAGAACAGAAATCGTCCTAATAAGGTTGCTGGAAACACCTCTGGCAGACACAGAGCTGACAGCGGAACGAGCTCTAGCCAGCTCTCTAAGCTCACCCAGGTTCCTAAACATCTTCCTAAACAAGGATGTTGCCTCCTGAGCCCAGCCAAAGAAGCCTCAAGATCTTTCACATTTCACTACAAATCGCAAGCACAGTACACAAAAACAGTGCAAAAATCAAACAACTTTGAATACTACAGAAGAAGAAAGTAGTTTGTTTTTTCTCATGTGTACTCTAGATCATGGTATCAAGGCAAAGGAGAGAAGCACATGCAGAAGGAACGCTGCATTGCACATCAGTGTCTTAATATAGACCGAAGCTCTTAACCCATGCATACTTCTCGGCAACACACTCAACAATCTGTCATTCTCATCATTAATTTTTAAAAACTGATTCACAACTCAAGATTTACTTTACCTTCTGTGCACTCCACTGCCATAGATTTCCTTTCTTGTGTTTTAAGGGGGAGGAAAAAAATTGGAAGACAATTGCTCTCAGTTGAGAGTTAGCATACAAAGTGGAAGACAAAGGTAATTTCCAAGCTTCTCTGCAATCTGGCTCACTTCTTAGCAGCATAAATCAGCCTTGACCACAACACTGTATGGTAATCGTTACTAAAACTCAGGAGTACTAAATTAGAGTGTTTATTAGAATAGGAAAGAACTTTTCATATGAATTATGCAACAATATTCCCAGATAGATCTGGAAGCTACACAAACAGATCTTCTCCTCTTTAGTTTACTGCAAATACAGGCACACACACTAAAGTGTTACATTCATTTATTCTGCTTGCTGTGAATAATCTCACCTGTCCTGATTGCTGAAGGACTCAGTGTAACACATTTCATAGCACCACCAAGGGTTAAACTCTTTTTTAGTTGTCAAAAAACATAAAGAAACCAGCTTGCAATCTGCTGAGAAGCCATGTACATGCTACCAATCCCAAAAAGTGGTAGCATTTCTATGCTGGTTGCCATAAAAACCTAAAGTCCTTTATAAGTGATAAAGCTCTAAAATTCCATTTGCTGCAAGCAAGCACAGCTATTTTAAAAAATGGATAAATTGAATATACAGAAGGCATGTGCTCGGCTTAATAGTGAAAGCTTCAAAAATAAATTCTAATGATAGGGAAGAAATCGATATATCAGCTGACCTGTATCAAACAGAAAAAACTCCTTACCTATAATGACTTCTATCTTCTTGCTGTCTTGATCTTCCTGGTCATTGAATACACGACACCAATACGTCCCTTGATGTTCCACATCCACACAAGTTACCTATGCAAGTACCATCACAGTCATCCCACCAGACCCCAAAAGAATACCTGTGTTAGTTTCATTTAAGCCCACATGCAAGAAAGTAAAAACAAAAAGCAAAGCCTAAACAAATCCAGAAGCTGCTGACACCCTCATTCTTCAGTAAGCTGGACAGCATGTGTGTTCTAGAAATGCCTTCAAGAACTGAAGAAAGAATGCAAATCCACCTCACAGGCTTAAGATGCATTAAGCACTGAATGCAACAGCTCACACAAATCAGAGTGCTTTGCAGTGCAAGACAGAAAGAGAAGCTTTCGCTTTTCCTGATACTTAATCTTTTTTACATCGATATGTCACTCCAAAATACAAATCTAAAATACCTTATAGCCTTACATTCCATGACTACCACCTGAAACATGGGTGCATAGTTTTAATCCTGAACGAGAGCCTCAGAACAGTATGGACAAGTAAGTAAAAGAACAGGAGAACAACTTATAGTGAGCACTTCCATAAGAGGTTACCAAGGCTATGAAGAAGTTTTTTTTTTTCAAGGAAGCTTTATTTGATAAGTTGTAAGTAAAAGAACAGGAGAACAACTTATAGTGAGCACTTCCATAAGAGGTTACCAAGGCTATGAAGAAGTTGGTTTTTTTTCAAGGAAGCTTTATGTGATAAGTTAAAGGTGGTTACACATCAGTTGCCCAAGGCTGGCACTTTGCAATAACTTACCATGTAGACATTTTTGCTCCCATTTGCCAAGGGAAATCCATTTCTGAACCACTGGTAACGAGGAATTGGGTTTCCAACAGCTCCACATTCTAGTACCAAAGCATCTCCCACTGTCAGGTTTTGTGGCTGAGGCTGAATACAAATGCGCAACTTGTTTTCAGGCAAACCAATTAAGCTCCCTTAAAAAAAACAAAGGGAAGAAAAAAGAAAAGAATGGATGAGACAATCTAACTGCATATAGGCTAATAAGAATTGGTGACATAGGGCCACATCTTCCTGTAACTACAACCAACTGTTTTAATAGCAATGAAATTAAGTTACTTGTCCTTCAAGAGTATGCTAAAAATGCATATGCAAAAAATGAGTAGCAACGGCTTTCCAGTTCTTCAGTTGAAAAGTAAAAAGGAATGCACATTAAATATACCCCAGAAGTAAAAAAAAGAAGCAAAGCCTTCTTTGCATTATTTATTCCTGCCTGTAGGATTATAAAGGCTCCAGAGAAAGGAGTAAGTACAAAGAAGAGTGGCTACTGAAGGATGGACTGAGGATGCAACTTGTGTGCAAGTGCGTACAAGGAATAAGAATTTCAAACTTAAAATCAGTTAGTTTTAGCATATCCCTAATTCTTCTCATTCTAAACTGCGCCTCAAACCTTATGGTAAATATACTAAAAAAGCTCAAAGCTAAAAATGCTTAACGAACATCAGTCACTGACATGTCCACATACAGAAATGTCTTTGGCAAAGAAACCTACTCAGAAAACCCTAAATGCATTGAAGATTTGTCCGGTTGATGTAATATAAGTGTCTATATATGACAAAATTTATTGAAACAAAGTGTTGAAATTCATTTTTAAAACACCCACACAACCCACAAAAGTGCTCCACTGAAGATTTCTGATCTGTGTACTGAACAGTTTGATGAACTGACATACTACAGCAAGCCCAGACCTACTAGTAAAGGTCACAACAGTGCTCTTTTATCTCAGCTGCAAGGTCACTTGTCTTTACTTTTGGACTACGTATGCAGACACGTTTTGTCATCAGAGCTATTCATAACTGACAATGGGGGGTGATGACATTTTCCTTTGCATAGTAAAATAAAGGGAGACAGTGATAGGGTATCTTTGTTCTACTACTGTCCGAGCTTCTCGGCCCATTATAAATGTGTGTTTCAGAGATTTTTACAAAGAGATGTTTCATATTTATGATCAATGTTGACTAGTGTTTTTAAAAGAAAGCTGTATTTCCTAATGCAGGCTTGATACTGGTAAAAAGACTGACAGATGCCTGAGCAAATGTTCTGTTCTACGACCGCTGCTGTATGGCATTTCAAATACAGAGGTTCTGGCTTACCACGTTCTCTATCAGCTTCTATAATGGTGTTGTGGTTTTGTGGTTTTTTGTTTTTTTTTTCTTTCTTACAAACAGCTGTTTTCTTTAACTGTTATCATAGAAGGGATTTTTATATGTCAAAATAAACTTTATTCCCTTTCACTCAGCTGTTTATAGAACCTTCTCTCTCCCTCCCTCCCTCTCAATGTCCCAGTTTGCTATTAGGATCTTTCAACAAAATGTAAAGAATTAATTTCCCTTTAGGGCAGAAAGACATAAGTAAGGTAAGATGAAAAGGAACTGCTGTTGTAGTCAAATTAAACAGGATTAGTCTTTAAAAGAAGGAACACAGACAGAAGTTACAGATTGTGAAAGGGAACATGAGATTGAAAGATAACACGGTTTCTGTCTCCAGTGGTACACCTTACCTGCTATCTCATTTACAGGCCCTTGTTGGTACAGCCTGTTGTTGTACCACTCAGAAAATACACTAACAAACTGGACTAGGATCCTTCGGAATTGTGTCTGGCTGCCTCACTAATCACAAGCTCACAAGACAGCTATGAAAGACAGCTGTTACGGAATGGAGAATGGTTGGGCACTCATCAAACAGAAAACAATGAAAAGAGAGAAGGAAAAAAGAAAAAGGAGGAAAGCGACCAAGGGAGCAGGGGAAAAAAACCCAAACAAACCAAACACAAAAACCAGACAGTCAGCAGCCAAAGCAGAAGATTTCATACCTCGTCAACATTTGCAAAACAGGTACTGTCAGCGTCATGTAGTTCAACTGAACCACCAGTAATCCCAGGCCAAATCTTACAGGAGATGGAGAGCATTCATTCAGTGCAAGCACGACATACCCCTTTTAGGTTTCTTTGGAAGGATCCTAAGAGCGAAAGTTATAGGAAGGAGCAATTCACCCTGCCTCTCATCCTTTTACCCATTACCAAGACCTAAACACGCTAAAATTCACTTCCACTGTGGCTCCCGGTTGGCCAAGAGTCATGGAACCTAAAGCAAGGCACTAGTCTGCGCATACGTACCACCCTTTAGTCACCGAAACTTTTGCTGCAAGTGTGAAAAAATACATACTGCTGTTTTTCTCAGATTGTTTTTTAAAGTAGTCATTACAAGGTTATTCACCTCAGCTTCCTGGTGCAATCAGCAAGATCTAAAACCACAGATTTCTAACCAAATAGAACCTGAAGTAGGAGCAAAGGAAAAGCAGAAGAAATCATTGCTTAGATAAGGACCGAGAATATGTTCGAGATTAAGATGTAAAAAGGTCACCTCAAATGACACTGCAATAGCTTTTGATCTTTTACTGGAAGATGAGTTCTCTCTACCTCTTTTCCTGACATGAATAATTTTTATATGTGGGATGCAAGTGGAAAAAACCTTTGACTTGTGACATAAGACAAAATAAGCACTCTTCACAGTCTGAAGACAGTGTAGTTGATTTCTATTTCACTCATCTTTAGGCCAATAGCAAGCAAGTCCAGGCTATTTAACTAGAAAGTTTATGAAGGGTAGACTTAGTGCATGAGTCAATGCCTATTTAATGCAATTGACTATTCTGTAAAAAACAAAAAAACCCAAAAAAACCCCAAAAACCTACACACATCAGAAAACAAAAAGACACCACCCCAGCAACCTCAGAAAACTAAACTGGAAATAAATGCACGGTATTAATATACCAGATCCAAGAAGTAAATTCCAAGATTTTCTTTACGTTCTACTAACAAATTCCAGTACTACCTGGATACTGTTGAGTAGACAGCTATTTAACCTTATTTGCTTTCTGCTGTGATTCCATTTTCCTCACGCTTCTTCCACTTCCATACTTTCATCAGATATGCTGCAGATGGAGATTAACCCATCACTGAAGCAGAGGAATCTTCAAGCCAGTGCCATAAATTCATATAGCCTTACATTGGTACAGTTGAATTACTACGGCTTTTCTTATGCAGGTAACACATATTTGACCATTAGCTGACCATTTATAAAACCCATGAAGACGCAATTCACACCCAGAAGACTCAGTTTAACTCATGTTTCTTCCTCTCATAGGTTTATTTCAGTAAATTGTGTGGATGTCTTCACTATTATCTGAGTTGGTTATATGAAGTTGAAAAGATTGCAGCAGTAAACAGACATTCTGCAACAGACATATCCAAGGAGCCCCAGTCACATTCTCTTTTCCACAGGTCTTCTGGCAAAGAAAGAACACACTGGGCTTTGATCAATTTATCTTTCCTGATTGGTACACATCTAAAATTATGATAGCCCATTATGATCTGAAAAAGTGACTGCAAGGGAGATCTATCACTTCGCTACCTGTCAAAACTTCTTCCAGAGCTCAGTCCTGTTTCCTCAGAGTGCAGTTAACCCTCTTTCCATTCCACAGTATCTAGGTTTTCTAAAGTGTCCAGGTCTCCAGCATGCATGCACTCTTCTGTAGTTTACTGTTTTGACCTTCTAGGTAAGGTAGGAGTTCTTTCTAGGAAGGCAGCGAACCTCATTAGATTCTCCTTTACCCAAACACCTTTCTTCTCAGACTGGCAGCACACAGATGAAGGGGAAACAAACAGTCCTGACTATTAGGCCAGAGCCCATGCGGCAGACATTCAGAATAGACTGTGTCCCCAGTCCCTAGCAAGTTACAACAAGAGGTAAACAGGTAAACAACAAGAGAGTTAAAGAACTCCTTTTCTGACCCAGGAATCCTCTAAGAATTAAAAGGGTTCGTTTATGTTTTCCATCTATCTATGCTTATCCACCCCTGTGGAACTTCATTTCTCTTCTGCTTTTGTGACTAGCACAAGAGCCCAATAATGGGATACCGCATTATTAATCAGCCTTCTTATCCATCTGTGCAAGACAACAAGCGGGACCCAAGTTCCTCTAACAAGTGTGAAGACAGACTTTCAGAAGACAATGTATTTGCCACTCACCATCAGACGTACCCTGGAGATCACAAACGTCAAGTCGTGCCCACCGACTGAACACAAAGGAAGAGTCACTGTTCACTCGACAGATGTAAAAGCCAGAATCGTTTACATTCACCGGATTCAAAACCAGCTCTGGAGAATTTCCATGAGGAACCTGAATTACAGGTGATCCAAGAAATATTTAAATTCAGATCAATTTAATCTAAACCAGGATCAAACATTAGAATATTTATTTCAATGTCCGTAACACCAGCCTCAACTCCTTCACTTACTATACACTTTTGGATAAGGAAGTCTTGTTCTACGTATTTAGTAGCTCAGAGACAGGCTTTCTTCCAAGAATAATTAACGTGCCTCTATTTAAGACAATTTTGAGCTTTCAAGACAGTTGAAAGGCTCTTCCTGAAATTAATAATTTTTACCTTTCTCCACAAATCATTTTGAATAATTTCTTAAGCACTACTCCAACCAGCATGTGTGTTACATTCAGCTCTAGTCTTAAAATACATTCAACTACGACCAGGAAACGGTAACATTCTTTCACAGAAAAGTAATTTTTTACTACATATCTATTTTAACTGTAATGATCAGGAAATGACTGTAATCATATTTTTTAAGTCATGTTTTGAATGATCTAGGTAAACTTTTAGAAAGGTGTAGGAAATGAGTTTAAAATTTCAGTCCTAACAGCAATTTACTGCATTTTTAAAAATAGTACTTACAATAAAATAACATTAAGAGTGCATTAATCTTGTAGAAAGATAACCAGGACCAGAAATACGGGCATACGTGCTGCCATTCAAATTCCAGAGATACCAGCTCACATGCATTTCAATGTTTTACTGAAGAAGTCTGTGGCACCACTGAGTTCAGGCCTTCAACTGTTCATTCTTAGGAAACCAGTTTCCATCCATCCATGACCAACAGCGGTTGGCATTTGTTCCAGTGTGGCAGTTTCTCAGTGGCCTGTGTCAAACTTTTGGGTAGGCCGAGAGACAACTAAACTTACAGTTTCCTTACTGCCACATTCCAGGATTAAGCTCCAAGGATGAAGTGGTCTGAATATAAGGAACCACCTTATTGTTTTAGCACATTGATAGGGTCATTACGCAGCATTTCTTAAACTTCTATTTTTTATTAGTATATATAGCAATCTTCTCTTATTGTAAATAAGAGTAACAGTCTTAAAAAAAGTATCATTCAAAATCATTCCCTATTATTTTCACCATTTAAAAAAAACCCTATATTCTGTATCAACTATTACCTCTTTTTCCTGCTTGAACCACTGGTAATGCACAAATGGGTGTCCTGTTGCCCAACAACACAGCTTGACAACCTGACCAGAGAGCACTGCTTGAGAGTCTGGCTGTACAACAATCTTTATACCTTTAAAAAAAGAATTTACACATAGGAAAGATATTAAGAAATACATTTCCACAATTTAAGTTTGCACTTAAATTGTCCTCTGGGTAAAGAAAGTTTCTGTCATCAAATATACTTGAAAATAATTTGTTTGTACTGTGTATACATGCAGATTCAATTAGTAACATGAATTTAAGACATTCAAAATTGTCTTCCATTACACAAAATCCCCGCTTAAATTGATCAGTACTCTACTTTAAATCTTTAATAAATTCTGTAGATGATTAGCCCTTTTTAATTTTAGAATGGATCAATTCCTCTTGCTCTCTACTCACTAAAGCAAATAATACCTCCAATGGCATCACAGATCCCTTCTGGGAAAGGTATTCCCAGTGTTAAGAGTTTGCTCACTCCCAACAATTTCTCTGAGTTGTTAATCTTCAAATTAAGATCAGGCACAGCCTGAGGGATGAATTAAAACAGTAAGAGTTAGTTTAACTACAACATAGTGTGTTTTTCTGCTATTTCTCGTGCAACCTTATTAGCTGAAACATTGGTTTCAGCTTTATGCCTTTGACTCCTGTAGAACACAGGGCTGGGGTTTTCTTTTGCTAATATGCAAGGTAAAATTTTCCATTTCAAATTTTAACTGCCAGGAAATAGCATGAGTGAAATTCTGACACCAGTCTGATATGATCCAGTTATTTTCTTAACCTAGAGCATTCCAGAGATCTTGTTACAGCATGACCCCAAGAACAGATCCACTGGTATAACCAAGGTCATGAGAAGAGGAGGCAGGGGAAAAAAGTCAACTGCAGAACAGAAAGTTTAACCTCACACTGCTGTCAGAAAATACATGGACCTATGACCAAGGTGTTCAGCAACACTAAGTTGATAAGCCATCAGAAAAATCATTAGTGTAGACAGTATATTAGTTTAAATAGTATTTGCTATGGATGGTAAAATGCATTTAACCACCCTCGTGGGACCACAGGCAATACTACACATTAACAACTAGTTGCTCCCAATACTAGTGTTGTGGGTTAACCTTGGTGGGCAGACAAGCACCACACAGGCCCCCACACCCCAAGTGAGATGGGGGAAGAGAGAAAGCAAGAATGAAACCAAGAAAACTTGGAGGCCAAAATAAAAGGAGCAAACTAAAAATAATAATGATTTTTTTAATAAGTGAAGGATGAGTGGAAGAAAAGGGAAGAGAACAAAACAAGCGATGCAAAGGCAATCACTCACCACCTCCCATGGGTAGACCGATGCCCAGCCAGTTCCTAAGCAGAAGCTGGCTAGGCGTTCCAAAACTCTCTCTTTTCCCTTTTATTGCCAAGCATGATGTTATATGGTATGGAATATCTCTTTGATTAGTTCGGGTCATCTGCCTGGTTGTGTCCCCTCCCTGCCGATTGCACACCCCAATCTATTCACTGGAGGGGGCAGTGCGAGAAATAGAGGCTTTGATGCTGTGCAAACACTGTTCAGCAGAAGCTAGAACACTGGTGTGTTATTAGTACTGATTTGGTCAAAAATCTAAAACACCACACCATATGAGCTGCTACGAAGAAAATTAAGTCTATCCTAGCTAGGCCCAGTACAATCAATTACAGAAAAAGCACAGAAATCACCAACGGTACAGATGCACTTCATCACCATTTCATTACTCTCAGAAACAAACAATCAGATACAAAATAGGTATACATACTAAAAATGTCTCTTTTTTTTTTTTTAGAATCAGTCTAATTTCCCTATTTTGGGAGAAAGTAATTCCTTCTTTATAGTTTAATGAAAACACATTACAGAAGCTGAAAGTATAATCTGGTACAGAAGCAATATTCCAGATTGCTCACAGAATAATCTTACAGAATAGTACACAGAAGCTGTGTAAAAAAAAAAATAGTTGCAAAGAGATTGCAAATATCCTGGTACAAGACTCAAGATTATCATTTGCTCCGAGCCTTATCATCACACTCTGCCAAGGGTTTTTTTGTCTGCTTTTTTCTGCCCCTCGTGTTTAACAGCTTAGCTGCACATCAGAACTTTTTCCTAACAGAGAATGTCTGAGGAAAGAAACCGTAACAATTTGATGAATGGGCTGAAACCTGAGCAGAAACCCATGTGATCAACAGACTGAAACAGAGATTATATGACATTTGGAAATCACATAATCTCTGTCTAGCAGGGAAGCGGGCTCTATTAATTTCCTCCACATGCAATCTTATTCTGAAATAGGTGATCACACAGGCAGCTACTCCAAAGTAGCTACAGGACTTGAAAATTCCCTGCCTTCCTTTCTGTAAAATAACTTCTCTACACCCTCTATAACCTTAGTTCCTCATTTAACCCTTCTGCCACTGTTTTTCATAGTTAAAGGGAGTGTTAAGTAAAGTTTTTGAGCATCACAATCACCTAACATTAACAAAGATGAACAGGAATTGGATTATTTCAATTTAAAGGACAGAACAATTAAGACGACTTGCTCTTTCCAAAGACTTACACTTTTTTTTTTTTTAAATTGCTTCTGACTTGCATCACTAACCTCTCTTAAGAAAGTAGTTGAGAAAATCGAATTCTCTGAAGGATTAGTATTTTGCACTCCTTAGAAGCATTACAAACAAGTTCTAAGAAATCTGATTCATAATTTCTTCACAGTTTCATTTATGTTCCTGCAATTCATTCAGCACTATACAGCTACTTCCTGCAAGCATCACAGAATTTAATGGTTCAAAAAGAAAACCTTCTGGCTCAATTTTCTGAACGATTACAAAGATACACAAATACTTCTTCGATTTTCCTTGGAAAATGCAAAGCTCAAGTTTTACCATTGAGGATGGCAAACTGACATTTACGGTTACCAGACTTTGAAACATGCAGTGCAAATCCAGTACTCATAATCTTAACCATAATCCAACTGTTACATTCTTGGCTTACACACTTGTAAACAACTTCAGTCATTTCTGGAAACTCAGTTGCAATTAGTCACATTCAGATTGAAGTGCCTAAACTACTGCAGTAAGAGACCCGCCTGCAGAGGAAAAACACCTCTTTGCTCTTGTTTCAATCACCACAGCTCAGGGAGGCTGCGCAAGGACTAGACTGCAATGCCACAAATTGTGTATTAAGCCTCTTTTCCTTCCTAGTCTGGGAGAAAGCTCTTTGCATTTCATTCATTTCCAGCAAGTTCACAACATGACAGGATTAAAAAAGGGAAGAAAAGGGATGGAGAGGTGACCCAAGGAACAAGATGCCTAGGCTTTCTCCAAAAAGGAGAAGTTTCAAAGTTATTACTACTACTATTTCGTGTCTTTACAGGAAGATGATCTTTGGTGCAGCTAATCCAACGCGACAGGCAAGCCTCTAAACTCTGAGAGACAAGTTCTGGAACTTGGTTCTTGGAGTCCGTGATTCTCTGAGAAATCCTTTGTATTGCTGCAAACAAAGCGATGTCCCAGCTTGTAACAACACACCTCTGCCATAAAGGTACTGAAGTAGTATCACTGCCAAAACAGGCCACTAAGTAGCATCAAAACTTTACACTTATTAACCAGTACACTCAGACTCACAAAGGTTTGTGTCTTTTTAACTGCATGAACTACGCTGGTAGAAAACAGTCTAACAACCCAGTATAACAGCTATAGAGGTCTTACATCAAACAATCCCATTCCTAAAAGAACTTGAGCAACATTTAAGCTTTTTTCTGGTGTATTAGAACAAATGGGCAGTTACGAATTTGTACTTCGACTTCAAGCATCAACCACCCCCGAGCATTTAAATAAACACCACAAATATCAAGGTCTACCATTTCTTTTTAAATAGTTCAAAATTCTTTTTGACCTAAACTTTCTTCAAATCCGCTTTGCTTTGGTTTCTCTTGGTTCCAGTTTCTCGGTCCCTATGAAGCTATTCGGTCCTCCTCTGAGGAGGCTGAATCCATTCTATCACAGATCATACTGTTCTGCAAGAGATTCATTTATAACAAGACCATCTCTGCAGTTCTAATGGGTCTTGACAAAAGTCTTCTTGTTGGCTTGTTCTCCTCAATACAAGGATACGTGAGCTATCTATCCAGTTCCCTAATTGACACCACTACCTCACAATTCTGCTCTGTAGCAAGTTCCTGTTTTACCCAGGATTTAGTCTTCATGATGTGTTTCAAAATGTAACTTGACTGACAGCCACAGAAAAATCCTCAATTCAATGGTGGTGATACTTGAGATGATCACAGATCAAGCAAGCACAATATTTTGGCTCAGCGCAGGCACTCTGCAGTACAAATGTGAACCAAGACTGCTCTTGGTTTTAGTACTGCCCCAGTAACCACCTTACAGAAAACAATAAAAAGGAACAAGCATTCATAGTGCAGGACAGCACACTACCGCCTATGCCTCCACCCCAACTCCTGCCCCTAGGAGAGCAATCCACTCACACTGGTATAAGACCGTTCCCCTCTCCCTGCCAAGCCTACAGTGGTGTACTGCAGCTAGACTAAGCAATCATGTAACTCGAATCACACCTCATTCAACACACCATGGTCCCCCTAGTACAGTAAGAAGCAGCAGCCTCAACTAGATGAAATGGCTGCAAAGCATGACTATAATTTACTTGAAAGCTTCCCAGGTTGTCTTAACAATGTTTCTCAGCCCATAGCTTCTTTTCTCACACTGTCCAAAGAGGACAGCTATCAATATGGCAAGGAGCTTGCTAGTCTCATTTGCACTCCCCGCTCTGAAGAGAAGCTTTTGTAACTTTGTAGTAGGCTAAATTTCACCAGATCCTGAAGGAGGAGGACCTAAAAAAGGGCCCTGGTTTTGTACTATAGCAAGATGCACTTGGTCTACGTGGTCTTACCTGTGCATTCCCTTGCACTGCCCCCCTTCCTAGACTTTTTGTGAAGAAGCAAGCCAATTGCGACAGTAGAAAATAACCTAGTTCTATCCTAAGTTAGTTTGGTTTTCTGTCCAATTAGCAAGTTAGACTGCATCCAATATGCACCAGAACTGGCACTAACTGGATCCCTTCCCTTCATTAGTGCAAGCTATGAAATGCAGTTAATGAAACCTGTAGCCCGAACAGATGGCTGGCCACACCACTCGTCTTCCTAACTCAACCATTTCAGTTCTGTAAGCATCTCCCAAAGGCACAGTCTGATACAGAACCCAAGTCAGCAGAGGGAATGACAGCACCTGTCACATCCACACAGCCAAGTCCAAGCATTAAGCCTGCTTATCTACTTGGCTTACTTTTAATCTCAGAATCACATGAGCCAATTACTACGGTAATCATATGAATACCAATTACTAGAATTCAAACACTAAAGCTGTTTTTATGTACTGTAGAAAATAAAGTTTTTCCAGTGTTTAAAAAAAAAAAGTTTGCTGTGAAAGCACAAACCAGAACTGACCTGAATGGCTGAGACACTGGAGAGCCTCTGTATGCTCCAGGGCCTGCAAGAACTCCACAAGCTCCACCACAGTGCAACCCCGATCTCCCAGTAGTTTCAGGAGACTCCAGCTGGGACTTCCTTCTGGCTCTAGCACTTTCAGGGAACACTGCTCTAAATCCAGAGGGCTACAAAACAATATGAGAAAGACATGGCACAGACCTTCTTACTACTTTTTCCTCAGAAAGAAGCAAAGTTAAAAATCACCTGTAGACCAACAAAAAGCTTTTTTAAAAAAAGAAGATGGGAAAATGCGAAATTCCTAGCTGATTTGGACATATTTGCAGTATTTCCTTCAAGTTTCAGGAGTTCAAAGCTTATATACAGTGACATCTCCACAGACAGAAAGTGGTATTAGTGAGTTGCATGCTACAAAACAAGAGATGCTTGTACCTAATAATTCTGACCAAATGTATTAAGAAATCTCCTAATTTTCACTTTTTAAAGTCTCAGCAGAAAAACAAGTACAGGACCTTTCATTTTCATGTGCCTAATTAAGAAGCGGTAAAGACTGAGTCAGAATCTAACTTGAAAGTCCAGGAAGACTTTGATTTTCAGAGTAGTTGTTCAAACAAGTGACTGCTGCAGCTTAACTGATACACACATCTCCTGCTACAGTGCAGTTAACTGCACCAATAAATTCATCCCCAGGTATAAATATGTATAGTGTTAAATTTTGGTCTTAATCTTCATGCACTCGCAATCACAGCAGACCAAAACAACACAGATAATAAGGAAATGAATACAGACACATAAAAGGAATGCAAGTTTATGTATTCTCACTAAAAAGATTCATCAATATTTCTTTCATTAAATCACAGTGTCATGCAAACCTGGAGGTGAGATATTTTCACTTATCAAGTAGTCCTTCACAGTATTTTACTGGATACAGAGAAACAAACATAGCCACACGCCCTACAGAGGGGTCATATTGTGGTCCTCAGGTTTTATTTCCCTATATTAATAAATACAGTCATAATGGAGAAAGGACACATCTTCATAGTGTACATTCCGTGCTGCACTTGAAATGCCTCCTTTTTTTTGAGATATTACCCTCTGAACAAAATCTTGAAAAGCCACAGGAAGTAAAGTGATCAGGAAGCAATGTACAGAACGTGACCCAGGCAGAAAGGGTTGAAGAAAACGAACACGTTTCCCCTAATATAGACAAGGGGAGCTACAGGGAACAGTCAACAAACGTTTTCCATATTCCCCGTCTAGGGGAAGCAGTTGGCTACGTTTGTGCTGAGGAAAGTCAGGTGAGGTACAAGGGGATGCCTTCCGACTACACCGGTGGCAAAGCAAAAAACCACACTACCTGCACCCTGTCACTTCTTCACTGGAAGCCCTCAGGGACTAAGCAAACATCTCCCAGAGATGGGCTACGGGTCCTCGATCCTATCTGCCCCAGCGCAGGGCCTGGGCTAGGGGACGCTCCCTGGGAAGGGTCGGCGGGAGGGGAGGGCGCGGCCAGCGCAGGCCGAGTAACTCCGCGTTCAGGCAGGAGCGGCAACAACACGGCTGCGGCTCCTCGCTGGAGTACAAAGTTGTAAAGCGGCTGGTAAGCCAAGCCGAACCCACA